GGGCTGGCTAATAGCTCTGCTGGGGGCTGGGAGGCCCAGGAGCCCAGGGGGTTCCTCTGCCCTTGCCGCATACCGAGCTGCTCCAGGGATCCTGGTCCAGGGGTTCCGGGCGCGGGGCTAGCTCTCTAGCTCCAACAGCCAGATAAGCGGAGGCTAAGCATTTTCACAAAGATAAAGTGCATCGGGTAAAGTGCATCGGGTATTAAGTACTCCTGATCTTGCCATTCCCTTTCAAGGACAGTCTTTTTTGTTTGCTTTTTGCTGCAAATACAACATGAGTATGGGAACATTAAAGAAGAAAGAACAAAAGGGCCTGAGGAGGGAGAAAGGTTTTCTAGGCCCTTTCTCTGGACTCCACTGCCCCTCTGCTTGCCTCTACTTGGCTGGGGGCTGGAGCACCGTGGTGGGGTCGCACTCCCTGGCTTTCTCCCCTGCGCCAGCTCCCTCTGACACCCCATCTGGACTTCCTCCTCTACCCCCTTTTCTGATGAACACCGTAGATGGGTGCTGGCCATCATTTCTGCATCCTCGACCCCCCAAGCCCCCCATTCTTCCGACTCCTTCTCTAGCTGACACACTGCACAGCACCCTGCCCAGAAACAGCTGCCACCACTGAGGCCATTCTCAGCCATGTGTCACCTGTCACAGCTGGGATTGCTCCCGGTGGGCTCCTCTGCTCTCATATTCCCTACTCCCTGCTTCCCTCCAGGGTCAACAAAGCCGGATGGAGGTGAGTTGTCCCCTAGCAGCTCACAGGCAGGTGGAGGGGAGAGGACAGCTGAGAAGCCTTGACAGAGTCAGACAAGGAGCGCCAGATGGAGACCTGCACTTGGTAGAGTGAACACAAAACAGACTCCAAGAGATGAAAAGATACTGAGCACAGGAAAAACAGCTTCAGGGAAAGAAAAAAGCAGCGAGTGAAAACCAATAAAAGGGTAATAAATACTAAAGCCAGAAAAGCCTGCAGAGAAACCATCCAGAGAGCAGCGAGAGGACACTAACGTTAGTGGAGCCAGGTCAGAAAGGAGGAGCGGGAGGGCTGCAGTGGTCAGTATGTGAGGGGCTGGAGGCTGGAGGAATGGCGCAACATAAATCTCTCCGGAAGGGTCACTCACCTTCCAAGCTGCTGGACTTATTGGCTGCAGCAAGCAGAATCTATTTAAAACACACTAGGCATTCTGCCTCGTTCTGTTTCCCTGCCCAGAAGAGGCTGAAGCCAAAGGCTTAGGGAACCATTCCAGCATTAGGACCCTGCACGGGCCTTGGGGCTGCAGGCAAGTCCGAGACCTTGAATCCCCCTGCCCCATCTGGGCTTGACCCCCCAGCCCCCTCACACAAGCTGCCAAGCCACGACACTCACAGCATATTGATTGCAGTCCCAAAGATTGCTGGGAAAGCCTCAAGGACTTCCTTCATTCTGTCTTTAAGCTCGTCAGAAAGCAGATGTCACTCCAATGTGACAGCTGCTCTAAAGGGATGCTCAAAGGGAGCTCCCTGACCAGGGGGAATATTCTTAATGATGATTGGAGGCCTTGGGTGACTCGATTACAGCAAGACAAAAAATAAAGTAGGAAAGGCCAGCACGGATAAAATGGCCTTGGGGAAGCCATATGGGCCTTGAATTGGAAAACACCAGAGCCTCCCTCTTTTCCCTGGCATATCTTTGTGAAGCTCTAAACTTCGGAGATCTGACTCCTCATCCACTTTCTACAGAGTACAACATATGGCTGGGGCTAGCAAAGGCCAAGGAAGACCACCCACCCAAGTTTTGTTTTCCCTCCCACTGAGAGGGTTGGGAATAGGGATTCTTCCTTCCCAGCTCTTCGCCCATAAGTTGTGTAAAATACTGTTAAAGGTTGAATATAAGTCCTCTGATCTACATGAGATTTATATTCTTGAAAAACAGAGTGTACAAATCAAATTTCACCTGCCAGAGAGCCTGGCTTTTCATAATGAATCTGAGGTCAATCTTATGTTTAAAGAGAAGGATTATTCGTGAAGGTGAATAATCAACCTAGCGCATGTCTGAATGTCTGATCTGAACGGCTGTGGTGAGACTGACGAAAGATGCACCAAGTTTGCTTTTAGGGTGCATTCACGCAGCACTTAGATAAAACAGGTATTATTCAGGAGCTACTGCTAAAGAAGCAGGTGTTTCTAAAAACATTTTAATGGATATTTTCAAATATATACTTTAAAGAGTAATGAACCTAACATAAAAAGTCCAGCTTCACCAATTATCAACTCCTGGTCAGTTCTGTGACAAAAAGGACGTTCAAGTCAAACGACAGAGTAAACTTGCCAATACAGGAAATAGGATCCATCCTACTCAGAATGCAGACTTCCCATTTCTACATGTACGCCTTAGACTATAGCCAGGAGAATAGAGAGAAGGGCAGAGAAACATATTCTTGGTTAACAGCCAAAGACGGAACAAGCTAGCAAACACACACACACCTATTTCTCTGAAGGATGTGCAAAGCACTAGCAACTTATTGCCTTCAAGGACGGAAAAGATTTAAGAGGAGAGCACTTTTTCATTATACATTAAGAGAAATTTTTTTTTGTACTATGTACATATATTACTCATTTTTAGAAGTGACGTGTTACAAACAAACATGACATGAAGCGTCAGAGTAACAAGGTCATTAGCTGTGGCAAAGAGACAAACTGTCTGGACTGAGATCACCAAATCGTCGTCATGTGTTGATCTGAATTTGTTTTTTTTTTAAGATTTATTTATTTATATACACAAGAACTGGGGTACAGGCCAGAGGTTCAGGGGTGAGAGGATTCACCAGAGTGGGGAGCAGAACAGGCAGATGTAATGAAATACATTGCTGAGGGGAGTAGCAGGCGGGTCAGGGGAGTTTCTGCTGTGCCATGTGGGTCACCACTCTGGCCGGGGATCAAACTTGTACTGCAGTGGCTGCGGATAGCTTCATAGTGCTGTGCTTTAACCCCCTGTGCCACCAAGGAGGGCCCTGAATTTACTTTCTTAGCATAATTTGCTCACTGTACCTTCTAATCCCAAAATGCACATCACCAGCATAGATGTTTCATGTAATAAACCTCTAAAGTTTCTGATGGTTAAGCAGGTGTACACAGGTCACATTTCGCAAGCTGTACGCTTATAATCTGTGCACGTCACTGTATGCTCATGATACTGCACTTCGACAAAGAATTATTAAGAACAAAAAAAATTTCCAGGCACTGTGTGTAAATAAGTCAGTCACCATTGGGTTGGTGGTTCAGAGAAAGCTGTTGTTTTAAGAAAAGAACATGATGCGGACTTTTTGCAAAAACTCACTCTTTGGAAACCAACACTACAGCATGTGCTTTTGGTTAAGCATTCCATGGCTGAAACGCAACTCCATGCTGAAATGCCGAGAGGATGAGGCAAAATCTTGGCCAAGGTCAAGCTCGGCTGATGGTTAGAGAGGGGGATGGCAGCCAATTGTTGTGCACTTGTGTAACATTTAAAAAAGAAAACTAACCCTAAGTCATCTTCTGTTCCTCTTCTGAGCCAACTTTAGTCCTGCTCATTGTATCCAAGAAATCAGAGGCAGCCATACGTGCTACAGCTCAGGCCTCCTAAACCTCCAGGGCCAAACATACATATCTTGATTAAAAAAGAAACGAAGCCAGCTCACTGAGGCTCTGGCTGGCTTTACAGGATATAAAAGATGTCAGAATTTTAGATAAAGTTGCAGTCTGTCTGGGAGAAAGCAGAGAAATATACTTCAGCCTCCCTTTTGCTTATGTGGTCACTTTTTATGGAACAGTAACAAGAATAAAACCAGCCCAATTTATACAACAGGGACTCAGATCTATGTCTAGGTGATTACTGGGGGGAAAGTTCCAAGTTCTGAATACTTGGTACAAATCTCTGCCACACTGAGAAAAGCCAATACTCTTTCTTTGGAACTCAACTAAGCACGAGGATGGACTCGAAAATGTGACTTCTGCCAGGTCACAAAGAATGGATATGTATAGAGAAAACAGTCTTTCTGCAGCTTATGAAATACAAACTTTATATTTCACATGTCTGTTTAGCTAGTTGGGACACTGGTTAAAATCTATGGCAAGTCATGGTTATACAAGAGCAGGCCCCGGAGACTGCCCAGTCCTGCTGTGAGTTAGCCATGCCTTAGGACTCTGGCATGAGTGACAACCGTCATCGCTGTGGACCCCTCAAATTTCCTTAGCTAGCCATAATGACATACATAAAAAGTAATACTTTTACATTATTAATGTTTTTCTTTTAAAGTAGTTAATTCTACTCAATTCTCCCTACATAGTATAGTCTCAATTCCTCCTTTCCTAAAAAGGGGAATGATCACTCTTTTTTTCAGCATCTTCTCGTCTACAACACTAGGCAAACTTGCTTCATTTCCACTCTGCTTACCTCTTATTAAACCTTACAACACAAGCAATGTAGCTGAATGTAAAGATTTCCCTTCACTCTGTGGAATTAAATAGTGAACTAGGTGAGTGTGAGTTCCTCAACACCACCCACAGCACCTCTCTGCCGAGAAGGGTATTCTGACCGCAGGTGGAGAACCAGATGGCAGTAGCAGGCGTCTCCCTAGTCAAGGAGGCCGCAGTGTGGCATTCTACGTCTTTCATCCTGCTTCTTTCCACGCAGTCTCCACGCCTAGGGCTGGAGCAGGATGGGCATGTGCCACGAGGCAGAAGGCACACAGCACCCAAGGGAACATGCCACACAAGGGGGCAGTGGGATGTATTACAGAATGCAACAGTTAGGAGGCCCCTACAGCACATCTAATTCAATCTGCTAATTTTTTTTTTAAAGATTTATTTATTTGTGCATACAGAACTGGGGTACAGGCCAGAGGCTCAGGGGCGGTGAGAGGCTTCACCAGAGACAGAGTGGGGAACAGAACAGGCAGATGGAGGAAGTACACTGCTGAGGGGAGCAGCGGGCGGGTCAGGAGAGGTCTGCCGCGCCATGTGGTCACCTCCGGGGCAGCCGGGAATTGAACTCACGCAGAAGTGGCTTTAGATTCTCAGTGCTGTGCTTTAACCCGCTGCGCCACCAGGGAGGGCCTCAATCTGCTAATTTTACAGGCTCAGAAAGGAGCCCAGAAAAAAAGTAACTGGCCAGAACTAGAATCCAAGTCACCAGCCCACTCCTCTGATCCTCCAACCATGATAAAACTAAAGCAAAAGATAAAGTTAAGTCCATGGACACTACACCCCCATCACCACCACCAGCTAAACAAACATACCTCTTTTAAAACTACCGTGTCTCAATCTCGCACTTCTTTTCAGTCCTCCTAGCTTATGAAGTTCAAATTTCTGATTCTTATCCAGGACTTAGTGGACACCCTGGTGCCCTGAGTACTCAGAATCCCAGCTTTGCTCAAGTGTGTTGCTGCCCGAGGAGGGCGGACTTCAGGAAGCAGGAACAGAAAATGAGTAGCCTCTGCAGCTCAAGACTACTTTGGATCACACATCAGGCTTATAATAAAGCCGCCTGGTGATTTGGTCCTACCGTCCCGAGTAACGGGGAGGCATGTGTGCAAGGGCCTTGGTGCCTCCAGTGCAGGGAGTGGCGACACCTCGTAGCAGGCTGGCGGGGAGGCACTTCTGAACAAGGGGGCTGTTTGGCTGTGTGTCAGCCCTGCTTCATCACCTGATGCAAAACTGTTCCAGCACTGGGAACAAGTAGACAATATTAGGTTACGGCACAAAGAGGCAACTTGAGAAAGATCTAAAAAGTATAGCTGAAATACAAAACAGAAGTATTTGGGGAATTATGTATTTATTTTATTATTTGAATCAAAAGTTAATCATAATAAGACTCATACACTCTTTTAGCTTTTCTCATCCAAGAAAAAATGATTGTCACTATTAAAAGTGGCCATTACAACCATAGAAAAGACAAAAGACTAGAAAGAATACATGCTGAGTATACTAGCAAATCAAGAAATTGCCTCTTTTAAAAGAAAAAAGTGCTACTCTTATGAAGCTGAGACAGAATGAGGGGGAAAAACAGAAGGACAAATGAATAAATGAAAACTCTGAGAAAGAAGGTGAATCAAGAAGTTAGTCAGATGTTGGGGACCAAAGTCCGAGGAAGGCTAGGAGTGGGGCGAATGCTCTTTGCCAACAGGTTCCGAAAAGTCTAAAATGAGGAATGAAATGTCTCTTTCAGCATGACACCTTTTTTCCCATTCTGATCTTCATCCATGCCATGGATAAGAGTAAGTCACTATGGCTGCACATTTAAGAGGCTAAAATCCCTGAATGTGGTACTATGCAAACATGTTCACTCTATAATGCCAAAGCACTAACTGCTCGCCAATCAGAAAAAAAAAAATCTGTCAAATCTGTCTGTAACTTTTACTCTAAAATAAAAATATAATTCTTAATTAAAATCTTTTTCTATTATGGCCCTCTCTGGTGGCACCAGGGTTAAGACACAGCACTGCAAGGAAATTGTGATACCATGTTAAATAAGAGGGGGAAAATCAAGAAGTATATACGGATGACTCCCAATTTTGTTTAACTATTATATGTATTACATACACTTTTAAATACCGAACAGAAATTCATAAACATGTCAGCAAAGGTTTAGCTCTGTTTTAAAGAGGGAAGACACATGATTTTCATTCTTTCTTTAGACTCATTTCTAATAATCATAATTACTTTTATATCAGAAAAAACATTTATTTTATAACAGTACTGTTATAAAATAACATAATTCATTTGAGATAGCAATTGTCAATCTTAGGGAAAAGCCGCTCAATTCTAAGGCTGACTCAGAACAAAAAGATTCAAAATCTATACTGTAACTCTCTTCTGAAAAAGAAGAGAAACCCAGAGCAACACACTCCAGCTTTTTCAAGCCTGCCTGCTGGCTTTGCCGCTGGGCTTTGCAGGAGGCTCTACTCAAGCACAGACTCCTCCAACAGCCACCAGCTGCGTCTCTTGGAATGAGGATTACAGAGAAAGAGAAGGAGCCCTTATCTTTTGTTTTAGAAGTGTTTCTTGTAATGCTAACACAAATGACTCAAAGTTAACTAAGCAAATGTTGAAACACAAAGCATTAGTTATTTTCAGTAACCACGTATAAATAACCCATATTTTTCGAGAATGAATATATACCGGAATCTGAGCGCCACCTTGTGGCGACTTTGACTATTACCACGCCCACGCATACAGCTCCTGGCTTCTCCACCCCCAGCTCCCTGCACGGCTCCCACCAGGCAGATACAGGGAATAGGCCCCGACGACCCCCACACTCCCAATACACACACACACACACACACACACACACACACACACACACAAGGGGCTGGTACAATTTGTTTTCAGGGGTTTCTAGTTTAGGTCCCAAGGGTGCCCGAATGAAGGAAAGTGGGATGGAAGGGGCATGGGAATAAAATGCAGATCATGATGTATGTGGTGGTGGAGGGGCTCATGTGGAGGCGGTGGGGGGCTCATGTGGAGGCCAAGGTTAAGTTGTGTGTGTGGTACAGCCAGCATACACACTGTACTGCCACAATGCAGGGGCCTGTCGGGTAGGTATCTCTTCCCTGGGAATATCTGTTGATTTGATTAAATTATGAAGAAAAAATTTTTACATTTACAGTTCGTGAATTTTGTGCTTAGAAGTTCTGTCAGTGTTAGACCAACTGTCACCAACTTGGGCACAATTCCAAAACAGAGCTCTTGCTGGAGTCTGGCCATAAAATTCTTTAAACTTGTTAAGATCTTGAAAAGTAGAAAGTTTTCCAAGTACTTTAGAAAAAATACAAGTCAGTAATTAGTTGCTTTTACACTTGGCCCCTTTTGAAAGGTAGGACAGCACTGCTTGGAACATCTCAATGTGCTAGTTAGTCTCAGTGTCCTAGGCATGAGGAAAATCCTCACACCGCATCTGGCCAAATGACTCTGGGAAAGAATTCCTTGCTTCACACAGGTCAGTACTGCCACTCTGGTGGAGCACAGAACACTGCAGGGACCTGATACTGATCTGAGAAAAGGAAATCTTCCTCTTGGAAGGACTTAAGCTAAAAGCCTCACAGTTGTGGGCAGGAGGGCCCCAGCAAGAAGGCAGCACACAGCATGAAAGGAGAAGCTGAGCAAATTATCAACATTATTTTGGAAGATGGAGCTTACAGGCTTTCTCTGCCCCACCCAGGCCAGAGGTCTATTTCCAGAAAAGCGCCCCGTTAGGACTTCAGGGTGCAAACATGTGGCAGGAAGCTGTTGCTTTGGTCGCGGACCTGTAAAGGAGAGCGTTACCCTGAAGTGACCTAGGTGGGAAGGATCCCAACTAGGTGAGTTGTGATGGAGCCATAAGACAAAGAATTTATAGTTAGCTGGCTGACCCGGGAGGATTAATGACCTCGCCAACCTCGGGCAGGCATTTTTTCCCCTCCTGAGCTTGAAGGGATTGAGATGCTTGACTGCTCCCCTTAACACCAACCAACTCAGGAAGAATCCTTCATTTGTTGTCTGTTCAGGGAAAGCAAGTGACAAGTTTCCCCTTGTCGTAAAATTTAAGAGGGAGGGAGGGAAAAGAATTCTCACCTTGTCCAAATAAAACTCAAAACCATACGCTGCCTTCAAACCAGTAATAGCCTTGCTCCATCAGAAGAATCTTGGATCAGTGTGGGTTAGTACGTGGACACTTGCCACCCAGGCGTTGCCCATGTACAAGATGACTTAATGGAGAAGAGATGTTTAATCGTGGCTACAGCTTCCCAGCTGTCCTACCCTGGGAGGGAAGCTGCGGTCATGACAGCTTGATGGGAAGGTCTTCCCCGTATTTCCGGAGCAGCTTCTGATGGTTGTGGTCCACTGACCACTGCTGCGGCAGGTGCTGGGGCTGCATGGAGTCCAGGAAGTGCTGGCGCCAGCGGCTCTCCAGCTGCATGAGGGAGCGCAGCCCGCCCTGCGTGTGGCACCGCACCACCTTGAGCCCGTGAGGAGTGTAGCTTTCGTTGGAGATCCTGCCAAGACACGAAGTACAAAGCGTCTGAGGGACACAAGCACAGGGCACAGGTGGCCCCACGGTGCTGGCCAGGGGCTTCCACAAGGGTGTGTGGGGGCTCCTCAAGGGCCGGTTGTGTTTTTAGGACATCTTTCCCACATCTGCCCCTCTCGCGCATAGATGGACACACTGCACACAGTCCAAGGTTCTGAGCTACACTTATGCTCGGCCCTACCAAGGGCCCTACTGTCGGGCGGGCTGATAGTGGCTGGAAAATGTTGGTCTTTTGTTTACACTAGAGTTACTCAGTTATCAGCTCACTCTTCCTTTAAATTACTCATTCTGAACCATATACTCAATGTATCAGCCCACGTGTTCCTGTTCCTCCTAAAAGTGCAGGAAGGTACATTTCTTTAGTGCCTCTTTCTCATCAAAACAATGCCAAACTGCATCCATGAAGAATGCTTCAGTCGCCATGAGATGCTACACGTGGCTGTTCACACGTGTAGCTGATGCTATTTAATGGGGAGAGGAATCTGCCTCCTTCTTAACTGAGGTGACGGGGCTTAAGCACCTCTGTGATAGTGTAACAGAAAGGGAAGGATTGGGGCTCCCTGCCCCACCTTAGGAAGGGTGGAGACAAGCAGTGAGGAGAAGCTGGAAAGGACTTGGGACAGAAGGCGGGACGAGGACTTGGAGAAGAAAATGGAGCAGAGACGTGAGGAAGTGGCCAAGCTGCTTCCTGGGCTTGTACCAGGGACTTGGCGGGACATGGAAGGAGACACTTGGAACAGACACGGGTAAGAGACCTGTGGGGCAGGTGACAATGGCTGACTTACCTTGACTTGTATTTTGATTTGCTCTTTTCCTTCTAGACTTCCTTGGCCCCTTCTACCCCTTTCCTAAGATTCCCCACCAGAAAGTGACTTAGACGTGTGGGAAGCTTTTGGCTTCAGTGGCCCTACTTCTGGCCAACCCTGTCTGATTAGGCATTTTCCATGAAGGGATGAGTAACTTTGGGTGCTATATTCTTTCTCTTCTCTGTATTTTACACTAATTCTATTAAAGTTCTTTCCCATTAAAGATCTTATGCACTAAGAGTGTGTTTTTGTCTATGTGGCAGATGGCAGAATTCATTTGGAGCAGGCGGGTTTGGGGTCCCGGGGCACCCCTTTGTTTGCCTGCTAACAAAATCATTCAAGTAAGTGTTTTTGCAGCCTGTGAATAAGGACCATCTCTCTCAAGAAATCTCCTTGACCCAAGGAAACAGTTCCTCTCCCTGCATTCACACTCTAGTCTCAATCCCCCCCCCAAAACCCCCACAACCTAGCAGTGCTAGCATCCTCTGGGTGTTTGCAGATTTTTGTTATTTAGCTCACAAGTATACTAACTTGCTTATCTTTCCTGAAACAGCTGTTCTCAATCCTAGATCCAGGTCCAACACCCTTTTATCCAACTGGGCAAGATGAATTTATAAGAAAGGTGTGTGGCTGAAAGTGGAAGTTTAGCTGTTTTAGGAAAAACACATTTGGGAATTAGTTTAAAAAGTCAGAAATTATTCATTTCTAATATGACTTTGGCAAGTTTCATCTCAGGACAGCTAGTGTAAAATTTAAAAAATTAACATCTGTCCTACATCCTTGCAGAGTAGTTCTAAGGCTAAAATTCATTTTTTTAAGCTTTGAAATATTTTTAAAATGTAAGCTACAATATTAGCAACCACCAATAAGAACTTCAAATTCTACCTCAGGATTGTTGTAATAAATAATTAAAACAACTTATATAAAGCCCATTTGTTTGGATAAATAAATTGGGATGTCTATACATGCTAACTCAATAAATTAGCTGTACTTAAGTTTTTGGCTCGTTGATGGCAAAATGCACGGGCAACCAACGGCACTATCAGAGTTACACAGACATCTTGAGTTCAGTTACTTCAACCCCTTACTTTATTTTTAAAAGTGACAATTGGAGGCCTCCCTCCCTGGTGGCGCATGGGGTTTAAGTCTAGCTCTGCGTAGCTCTCTGCAGAACAAGAGTGATCCCCAGCCAGGGAGCTGACCCACACTGCCCCCCTCGGCAGTGTGTTTCAGTGGGTCCGCTTACTCTGCTCCCCACTCTGCCTCTGATGAACTCTCTCCCCTCACTCCCTCCCCCCCACCAAAATCTGACCACTGGCCTACACCCCAGCTCTTGTATGCATAAATAATCCTTTTCCTTTAAAGTAACAGTTGGGAAGCAACTATAGCAGGTAGCCTAGAGTTTTGGTCATCTGAACCCTATACCCTCTCACTACTCAGTACCATAAACTTCTCCTTTAGGAACAATGAGTAAAGTCACATGAAAATTCAACTATATACTCATGGGGTAGGGGCCGAAGTCAAGAAAGGAAAAAGAGAAAAGTAATTTAAATAGTAACAGCAATTCAGGCCAGCATTCCATTCAGTGGGTCAATCCCCTGGAGCACAGGGGAGACAGGAAATATGACTCCATTGGCCTCAATTCCCAGTGTTTGTTGAGTAAGAGAAACAGACCACATACTGTACCGCCTGGGCAACTTCAGAGATTTAAGGGTATTATTTTGAGTACTGTTTTCATCTTAAGTTTGACTTTTAAGATTGACTTCTTTTTAAAAAAAGATTATTTATGCATATAAGAACTGGGGTACAGGCCAGAGGTGTAGAGGTGAGAGGATTCACCAGAGACAGAGTAGGGAGCAGAAGAGGCAAATGTACTGGAACACACTGCTGAGGGGAGCAGCGGGCGAGACAGGAGAGGTCTGCCACGCCATGTGGGTCAGCTCCCTGGCTGGGCACTGAACTTGTGCTGCAGTTGCTGCAGAGAGTTGCTTCATAGTGCTGCGCTTTAACCTCTTGCACCACCAGGGAGGGCCCGACTTTAAGATTCCCTTCTGCATAGACTATCTAAGGTACAATACTACTGCATTTCAGCTTCAGCTTTCTTGCTAATCATGAAAATGATTGGACATACAGATATGACCATATAGGGTTAAGGGTAAGACACAAGTCTCCTATGGAAAGGAAATTCAAGTAGGTCCTTCTAGCACACCCCAAGGTATCTTAGGCCATCAGACACTCCAGGGGAGGCTGTGCTCTCACCTAAGTGGCTCTTCCTGATAAACGTTCGCACTAAGTCGTCAGGGCTAACGTCACTGGGTTACTCCTCAGTCTGATCAGTACTGTGAACTGTACCTGATCTCCAGGCTGGCAGCCTCCCGAAGCATCTCATCTGTGACTGTGTCGGTGCTATAAAACTCCTTGAGCGCGCGCAGCAGCTCCTCCTTTCGATCAGCAGGCAGGCTCTCAGCAGTGAGCAGGGCCCTCGCCCCAGAACGCACCTGCCTGCGCTCAGGATCTTCCAAGAGGCGCAAGCCCTCCTCAGAGCCAATGGGTGCCTGGAATTCCTTGGCCAACTGCTGCTTCAAATGGTTGTCATAGTAGTTAGAGATGGCATGGCAGGAAGTGCAGAGCAGCAGCACATCGTGGGAGTTATGGTCCTTCATCTCGATGGGGAAGTGCTTCCGGTATTCATGTGGAATCACGTTCTTCCTGAACAAGCCCACCCCGGAGGCAGTGCGCGTTAGCATATGACACAGAACATGCACAGAGCTAGCAGACAGGCGACTAGCTTTTGCCCCAGGCCTACACATGCCTGAGAAACCTTGCGCACAACTCAGCAGAGATTACAGAAAGGCAATAATGCCACCTATTCCATTACTGACCCACCTGCCTATCTGTGCCTAAAGGTCCTCTCTCCTTGTAGTGTAGACCACCCGCTGCCAGGCTTCAGTGCTGCTCAGAGTAGGGAGGAGATAATAACATCCCTTGAGAATCTGCTCCCAGAAGGAAAAATATCAGAGGGGAAAAAATGGTCTTTAACCATTGGCCTTTAACCTAATGGCCTTTAACACCTGGAAAATAACTCACTCAAATAAACTAAGTGGTAACCTTTACTCTTGAAATTTTTGAAGCCTGGTGCTCTGAAAAAGTCAATTTCTTTCACTTGAGGAATCTCTTACTCTGAGATGATTTCTGATTCATCAAAATCCATCATTGGTTTCTTTTTTTTTTTTAAAGATTTATTTATTTATGAATACAGAGCTGGGGTACAGGCCAGAGGTGCAGGGGCAGTGAGAGGATTCACCAGAGGCAGAGTAGGGAGCAGAACAGGCAGACTGACGAAGTACACTGCTGAGGGGAGCAGCGGGCGAGACGGGAGAGGTCTGCTGCACCATGTGGATCACCTCCGGGGCTGGGGATGGAACTTGCACTGAAGCGGCTGCAGCTAGCTTGCAGTGCTGCACTTTAACCCGCTGCGCCACCAGGGAGGGCCAAAATCCATCATTGTTTTCTAAGGAGAATTAATCTTTCAGGATAAGCTCCTGACAACCACAACTACTTATCTCACTCTGCAAGGAGAGAAAGGAAGAAACTGAGTTATTTCACAGAGTCCAGGGAGAAAGTCCAGATGTCTAGGCACCTGGATGCAGCAGGCACATTCTCTTTCATTCTGTAAGGGCCATGATGAGAAATACTCTCCCCAGACTATTCCAGAGTGTGCTTTCAGATCATCTGGGAACTTCATGAATAATAAGCACCAAGGCTCAGAAAGTTGTGAGTCACTCAGGGAAGATTAGAAGTACAAAGAAAGAAAAGCAGCTTCTGAAGGGACCTATCTCCCGATTCTTCATGAGCAAAAGGAAACCACTCTCTCTATAGCAAACTACTACTGAGAAGAGTATTGCATCCCAGATACAAAGAACTGGCCTCAGGAGGGGGTAAAAGCCATTATCACAAGGCCAGGCAGAGTTTTGAAACTGAAGCTGTTGGGGAAAACTGGATGTCCCCTAGGGAAAAATTGCTTAGCCAAAGCAAACAGATTCAAACAAGCCCCTGAAGGCTTTGCATGTAGCTACAAAGGCAATTTCTGTGATGGGCAGACAATCAGGCCAGCCCAAGCTCACACTCACCGAATATAGGAGTCTTTCTTGCCACACACTACACACAGGTTCTCTTTTACCATTAAATAATAGTCTCCTGGGGATTCGGGTCTTCCGGCAGGTTCAAAATGTAGCTTGACCACAAAGGGCTCTTCACTCACCAGCTCTTAGAGAAAAGAAGTGTTAGTGTTTACCCCGCTCTTCCCAAGGAAGAAGTGCCACCTTAGTTGCTCTGCTCTGACCTAGCAGAGATCACTATTCCAGATTTTGAATAGTCAGTCCCACCTGTCTCAATTCTGTCTGCCTTCTACTTATCCCCCTCCCTTGTCTCACTTCCCACACCTACGCATATCCACGAACACCTAATTATAGCTCAAACATGACAGCTGAATCTCAAACCTCCAATCCCTTTGTCCAGATACCACTGAGCCTTTCTTCGATCACAAGTGCAAAGGGGCTGTCCGTCAGGAGCCTGGAGAAAGCAGTTGTCATAGAGGGGTGATTTTCTGCAGGGGGAAGAGAGAGAAGTCTAAAACTAGCAGCTGTTTCAAGGCAGCGGTTACTTTCCCATGTTCTCTTTTGAGTGACTCAAGCTAGTCAAGAGTCAAACGCTACATTTATGGGGAAAAAATAGGCAAGAAACTATGTTTACTCCTCCATCTACAAGTGGACTTGGCAACAAACTAAACCTGAACTGTTTATACTTCCAGTTTATATACTTATGAATTGACACGTTAGGGAGTGAGTTGGGTAGTGGTTGTGTAGCTCTGTTATGAAAACAAACAGGAATAGCACCAAGAAAACTGCCCTATAGAGTAATCACTAGATTCCACAAAGTAAATTAAATTAAAGGACTGTACGCTATTAAAGGACTGTATGCTAAAGTAATGATGGCCATGTGGATTTATTTCTCTTATATGCAATATTTGCTTCAAGGTGATTATCTAATTCCTAAAGGCACTTTGCTATAGGGACCAAACCTTCATTCCAAAGTATTTATTAGTCATCTTTTTTTGTAATAGAGGATTAAGTTGTACAGGAAAATTCTCAATGACTAGAAAATAACATTGGCCTAGAGCTAGATGCCACTTTAGTCAAATACCAAATGAATAAGAAATCAGATGCATGTCTCTTGTAAAGTGTGAAGCACTTCATGTTATTAATTTTCATAGCTATCATGAAACAAGCAAGGTAGTAGTAATTATTCTCTCATTTATAACTGGAGAAGTTACAGGTCTAAATTCACATCAGGATCAGTCAGTTAGATTAAGCTCTTTCCTCATTTCCACCCCAACTGTCCAAAAAAAAAAAGAAAAGAAAAGGTATAAAGGAAGAAGGGAAAGAAACAAAGTAAAGGAGAATCCCAAATGATCTTGAAGGAAAGACAAAATAAAACTAACTCCTGGAAAGCCTCTGCTTGCTTCCTACACAGACTTCTTCCCAGAATCAAGGTGAGACACCAGGCCTTTTACTGGAGGCTGGGTAGGCATGGAACAACTCAATTACCTGGCAGAATAGCCCACTCCCAGTGGCTTTCTTTTATGTTTTCTGGGGTCTCTCCCTTGGTGGCTGCCTGGCAACATTCCATCATTCTTAGACTTCTTATTTCTTGACTTTTGCTGAGATTCTGTGGCTTCCCCTTTATCCTCTTCTCCCAATCTACTAATTCCTTTGCTTCGGAATGGGATGTCAACTATACCCTGGCATTTCTCCAACACTTTCCTCCAGCCAATGTGGTCACTGTTTTCTTCTAGAGTTGAATTCCTAGAGAAAGGGTATCCAAGAAGATGGAGAAAGAGAGCCACTGAAATCTGCGCATCTCTGGCAGCATAAATTACCTGAAAAGAAAAATCAGAGATCAGTGGAACTGGAAAGCAAACCAGAGAGACACCAACTTCAATGTCAATTACAAATATACAGGCAACTTTTCAGATTCTATTCAAAATGTACAATCACCTAGGTACCATGTACTTCTCAAAGGCTTTAATATATATATATATA